GGGAAAATCGGTCCAGATTTAAATATAGCTCCCGTATATATATTTTCGTAAGGTTTTAAGTAAATGGCGCAACAAACTCCTAATATTTGTCCGATTAACACGAAATTTTGCACATAGTATAAAGTGAGACTTGAATGACGTTATTGCGTTTTGTTGAAATTGGTGCAGATGCAGCCATAGCTTCCATACGTATTACGAACGGGTATCTGATTGAAATTAAATTTTGAAAAGTGCGGCTTGCCGAATAGTGTGTATCAAATTGGCTATAAATCGTTTTCGTAAATTTGTACCATGGTGCGCAGACGACTCTAAATCTTCCCGGATGAAATTAAATTTATCATTGGTTGCAGAAACACATGAGTATTTTCCTTCGAGGGAATATTGACATGTAGTCGGCCCAGTCCGATTTTACTACTTTCCTTACTGTTTTTCTTTTCTTATGGGGTCAGCGTACTTTTCATAGAATATTTGATGCATTGAAGGATCTCTTCTCATAACAGATAAGAGGGCATTTTCATAAAAAGCCTGAATTTTCATTTCTTAGAAGACTAAAACCCCGCATACAGATGGCAAACAAAGCTTCTCACAGATGATCTGTTTCTTATGAAATCATCAGAATTGCTTCCAAAGGATGACTAAAATACGTGTATTTTTTTTTTGCTTCATCATCCCACTCTTAAATACATTGTTTTGATTTACGATAATTTTTCACACGATGAATATTTGCATACCTAATAAAATAACTTTCACTTTTTTGCAAGTTTAAGAGAATTTCTAGCGCATGCATAACCTTTTTTACAGTAATGATTTTTAATTTTTTATTTCTTTATTTTGGTATATGAATATGGCTGGTTGGCAGGCAGCAGAACATTATGATATGAATGAATTGCTTTATTTCGCATACGAGTATATTCCATGGTGAATGCGGCGGTGGCGTGTGGTGCCTCCTTTTGTTTTTCTTGTCATAACTCTCTCTTTCTCTCTTGCTTTCCATGTGTCTCCTTAAGCCTATTCTGTCTGCCCCCTGTGTATTTGTAACACAGTTATACTAATCTAACGAAATAACTAACAACCTAACCTAATGTAGTACCATCACCCACCCACCTACTAACCACCCACTCACTCAAAATAGTTTAACCTCAGACAAACGTTTTCATGTTAATATTGCATGCATGAATATTTCTCATTTGGGTCGTTGTGTTTTTTTTTTGTTTTTGCGAAGTATTCTTAGTTTTTTTTTTTTTAAGTTGCTTGTCGCCTGACTATGTGTGCAGGGGTGTTGTTTGGTGGGTGGTTTGTGGGTCTATGGCGGCAGTTGCTCCCCCATTTGCTTGTTTGTAATTTGCAAAAAAATATATTGAAGATGTCACGAATGTAAAAAATTAACGCATTCGTTGTTTTATTCTAAAATCTTTTAAAGAAATGTAAACTATTTATTAGTGGGGAATGTATGGCAATGTCCGCCGAGGGGTAAGGCAGGGAAGACTATAGTTTCGGATCTCGCCACTGATCCTCATCAGTTCCCTTAGTTTTTTGTTGGGATATTCTCCCCAGAAGCTATTAATAGCTTCTTTACAAAAATAAATAGTTGTTTTTTATAAAAACAACAAACTGGGATTAAGCCTGACTATTTTGCAAAAACAAAATACAAATGGTATCCCAAAATAACCCGCCAACACTACTGAAATGTAAACAAAATATGATTTTTTTATTAAACAAAATCTTAAAATTACCAAATAAAAGATTTGCCTTTTTGTTTTTTTTTTTTTTGGTTTCATTGCTAAATGAATACCCATACGTCACCAATCGACGACAATTCCGCATGCCACTCACCCTCTGTGCTTTCTTGTGTTTGTCTAAATCAAAAGAATGACGTGTTCTCCTCCCGGTATTGTGTTTTGTGGAATTCAGTTCAATTTTTATTCTTGCTGGCGGTTTTGTGTTTAGGTTTTTCTCTTTTTTTTGTTATTTTTAGCCATTTGTTGTTTTTTCCCAATAGTTGACTAAACTTTTGGTCTTGTTTTTTTCTGTGTCTTTTATTTATTTTTTTTAGTTTCTGGGCCTTAGACATTTTCACGCTTTTTGTGTGTAATTCGTTCGTTCGTTCATTCAATCAGTCAGTCACTTGCTCAATTCATTCATTCATTGTAAACTTGTCCCACTTTTCCATCAAGTGGTTCTTTTGTGTGTTTCGGAAATGAAGGACATACTTTAGTTTTGTTTTTGAGTATCATTTTTGTTGTTGTTGTTGCCATTCAGCAAAGGCAGCCGAAGAAAACGACGGCGACGATGAAGTGTTTTTTTGTTGTTGGTTCTTGTTTTTCGGAATGTCTGTGAGAGGAATGAGGAAGGTTGTGGCGGATAGGTATTTTAACATCTATTTGCAACCAAAATGGCATCAATTCTAATGCAAATTGAGTTAAGTAATACAATTTAGATAAATGAATGGTTTTCTTTTCTTTGGTCGGGTGAGCTATTAAATTAAATTCATACTTTATGGCTTTCACATTTCATAATTTGGAAGATGTGAAGATACTTCAGAAAGAATGATGTTTGGAAATATATTCCATTCATAAAATATAAGCAGAAGGCCTTCTTATAGAAGAGCAGAAGGTCTTCTCATAGAAGAGAAGAATGTCTTCTCATAGAAGACCAGAAAGTCTTCTCATAGAAGAGCAGAAGGTCTTCTCATAGAAGAGCAGAATGTCTTCTCATAGAAGAGCAGAAGGTCTTCTCATAGAAGAGCAGAAGGTCTTCTCATAGAAGAGCAGAAGGTCTTCTCATAGAAGAGCAGAAGGTCTTCTCATAGAAGAGCAGAAGGTCTTCTCATAGAAGAGCAGAAGGTCTTCTCATAGAAGAGCAGAAGGTCTTCTCATAGAAGAGCAGAAGGTCTTCTCATAGAAGAGCAGAAGGTCTTCTCATAGAAGAGCAGAAGGTCTTCTCATAGAAGAGCAGAAGGTCTTCTCATAGAAGACCACAAAGTCTTCTCATAGAAGACCAGAAAGTCTTCACATAGAATACCAAAAAGTCTTCTCATAGAAGACCAGAAAGTCTTCATACAAAACTAGTAGGGTTTACTATGGAAGACCAGAGGGTTTCTTCATACAAGGTCCATAATAAAATACCCAGCAATTGTTCTCATAGCTGCCCAGATGTTTTCCTCATAGAGGACCAAAAGTTCTTGTCATAGAGGACCAGAAATTCTTGATATAGAATTTCAGAAGGTGTTCCCTTAGTATGCCAAAACGTCTTCATATTAAAGACCAGAAGGTTCTCTTAAAAAAGACCGAATTTGGTATTTTTAATTTTTATACCCTTCACCACACTGTGGTACAGGGTATTATGTCTTTGTGCATATGTTTGTAACAGGCAAAAGGAAACGAGATAGACACATGGTTCCTTTTGAGAATATGCATAGAATCACTTTCTAAGTCGATTTTTGCATGTCCGTCCGTCCGTCTGTCCGTACGTCTGTCTGTCCATGTTAAATTGTAAACAAAGTGCAGGTCGCATTTATGATCCGAATTGGATGAAATTTGGCATAGGTCACTTATTCGGCCCAAGGACGAACCCTATTGAAATTGGGAAAAATCGGTTCAGATTTAGATATAGCTCTCATATATATATTTAACCGATCTAATGTAAACGGTCCCTATATATCTTTCGATTTGCACGAAATTTGGTACAGCCTAATCATTTAAGTATAGAATGATGTCTGCCAAGTTTCGTGAAAATCGGTCCAGATTTAGATATAGCTCCCATATATAGTTTCGTCCGATTTCATGTAAATGGTGCCCCAAAGTCCCTATATATCTTTCGATTTGCACGAAATTTAGCATAACGTACTGAATTGAGCCTAGAATTATGTCTGCCAAGTTTCGAGAAAATCGGTCCTGATTTAGATATAGCTTCCATATATAGTTTCGTCCGATTTCATGTAAATGGTGCCCCAAAGTCCCTATATATCCTTCGATTTGCACGAAATTTGGCATAGCGAAATGGATTAGGTCTAGATTGATGTGTGTTAAGTTTGCTGAAAATCGGTTCAGATTTAGATATAGCTCCCATATATATTTTCGTCCGATTTAAGATAAATGGTGTACCAAAGTCCCTATATATCTTTCGATTTGCACGAAATTTGGCATAGCGTAATGAATTAGGTCTAGAATAATGTGTGTTAAGTTTCCTGAAAATCGGTTTGGATTTAAATATAGCTCCTATATAAATTTTCGTCCGATTTAATGTAATAGTGTACCGGTTCAGATTTTGATAGAGCTTCTATATATATTTTCTCCCGAGTTTTGGTAATTTTGTCCCATTGTAAGAAGCAACCCTATATCTGAACAAATGAAAAATTTAGTATAGGTTGCAGAATTCGACGTCTGTTAGCATTCATCTGTTGAATAACCCAAAGTGGTGAAGGGTATCATATAGTCGGCCCCGCCCGACTTTACTACTTTCCTTACTGGTTGTTCATGGGGTAGTAATTCTTCCAAAAATATGGATAAAAAAACTTGGGGTTGCTCTTCATATTTGGTATTACCGAAATGGCTCTAATTTGATGGTGTGGCAAATCTTCTTATCTAAAAATGTTCAGAATCGTCGGTATACTTTTTGAGGATTTCAGAGACATTTTTCAATCGAAATGACACTATATTTATATTTTTAGTTCTTATTGGACGTTAAATCTTTTTTTTTTTATCAAAAAATATAAATATCGTTTGATCTATAGGATTGCCTTCATATATAAATATCATGTTCGTTTATAGGTATTTTGATTGGCCTAGGAGAATTTCAATATAAGTGTATGTAATTGGGTATTTTGTTTTCTCCGATAAATCTTAGGTATTTTGAATGTGCACCTCATATTAGAGGGTATATAAAAAGTAGGGCCCAACCACCGAACTTCCTTGTTTACATTTTTAATTTGCCTATTTGCTATACTTTTCTTCAAAATAATAATAATGCCATTTATTTCTTCTTTTATTCCCCCACCACAGGTCCATTTACTAAACAAGTGATAACCACATTAAATTTAACTAATCCTTCGGATCGTAGTATTTTATTTAAAATAAAAACAACCGCTCCCAAACGTTACTGTGTACGTCCAAATTTTGGCGTTATTCGAGCACATGAATCAGCTTCGGTTGAAAGTGAGTATAATACATTTCATTTGAATATGAATCAAACGTATTAATAACTAATAATTTTTTTCTTTCATTCTTTTTCAGTTTGCTTACAGCCCTTCAATTTTGATCCATTTGAAAAGAACAAACACAAGTTTATGGTCCAAAGTGTTTTATTGCCAGAAAATGAAGACGAGGATAGCTCGACCTTTTTCAATATTGTAAATATATATTTTATTGATTAATGTTTGTTTTTGTTTTATTAATATAATATTGTTGTGTGTTTTTTTTAGTGGAAGGAGTTGCCACCAGAAAATTTCATGGATGCCAAATTGAAGTGTGTCTTTGAAATACCACAGGAAGATAATCGTGGTGATGCATCAGCTGCTGCTAAAGTTGTCAAACCTGAGCAATCATCCTCACCTCCACAAGTTAAAAATGAAGAAAAGGTAAATTGAAAAATGAGAACATATACAATTTAAATCTATATTACTTTTACAAAAAGTTCAGATGGCTTCGAAAGCAATGTGTGGAAAATTTAATTGATATTTTTTATGATTTTAAAAATCTGGTAAAGGGATAGATAGACATAGAACAGCAGAAGGTCTTCTCATAGAAGAGCAGAAGGTCTTCTCATAGAAGAGCAGAATGTCTTCTCATAGAAGAGCACAGAAGGCCTTCTCATAGAAGGGCACAGAAGGTCTTCTCATAGAAGAGAACAGAAGGTCTTCTCATAGAAGAGCACAGAAGGTCTTCTCATAGAAGAGCACAGAAGGTCTTCTCATAGAAGAGCACAGAAGGTCTTCTCATAGAAGAGCACAGAAGGTCTTCTCATAGAAGAGCAGAAGGTCTTTTCAGGACATTTATGGCATGTGTTACTTTTTTATTTTGATCCATTTTGTTGTAATTCGGTCACTTTTTACTGTCTTCTATTTGCACATGGATGATCTTTTAATAGAAGACCAGAAGGTGATTTCATAGAATTCCAGAAGGTTTTTAAATCAATTATTTATTTGTTTTTACTACAACTTAAAGGACTGTAACTGTTTTAAAAATTTAATCTTTTAATTTAAGTTGGTCTCATAGCCAACCAAGTTTTTCTAGAAGCCCGGAAACTCTTCTCATAGAAGAACATATTTCCAATGAAGCACAAAAGTTCTTTACAAACAACAGAAGGTCTTCCCAAAGAAAACAAACAGAAGGTCTGAACATAAGATCTTCTCGTAGTAGGCCAGTAGTTGTTATCTAATCAGGACAGAAGTCTCCTCATGGAGGAATAGAAATTCTTACCATGATTAACAAGGGACTATAAGGATTATCGCAACAATTTTGAGAATATGAATTGTAGATTCTCCACAAATATTTTCTCGACACATTCACGGCGAGAAGCGTGAATGTGTTTAAAAATCGGTTCAATATGATGGCTCAATGAGAGTATATTATTGTCACAGAAGACAAACATTGTTAAATATAATTGAACAAATTTCGAGGTATCGATTTACTTAATACTATCTAGACGTGTAGATTTGTATGTGTTATGTTTACATTTATTCTATGCTAAATAGATTCAACAAAAAATCAATTTATTTATTTATATATTTTCTTTTAAATTGAAAATTCTATTAATGCTAAAATATAATTTATCTGTATTTATATGTCTTTTTTATTTATTTCAGCAGACTTCAGTTATGGATACTTCTGAACAATCAGAATCGCTGACGAATGAACTCAAACAGTTGCGTGAGGAGAACAGTAAATTGAGAAAAGAAATTGTTAATCTGAAGGTAAGATAATTAAGGTCAACATTTTGAAAACCAAAATTAAAAAAGTAGTAAAGTCGTACTTTAAACCTGAACCGATTTTCACGAAATTTTACACACATCACTCTAGACTTAATTCAGTACGCTATGCCAAATTTCGTGCAAATCGAAAGATAATTATTAGGCACTTTGGTGCACCATTTACATAAAATCGGACAAAAATATATATGGGAGCTATATCTAAATCTGAACCGATTTTCCCGAAACTCACCACTCATCATTCTAAACATAAATTCAGTACCCTATGCCAAATTTCGTGCTAATTGATATAAAGGGACTTTGGTGCACCATTTATCATAAATCGGTCGAAAATATGTATGGGAGCTATATCTAAATCTGAACCGATTTGCACGAAATTTTACACACATCGTTCTAGACTGAATTCAGTAAGCTATGCAAAATCTCGTGCAAATCGAAGGATATAAAGGGACTTTGGTGCACTGTTTACATTAAATCGGACGAAAATATATATGGGAGTTATATCTAAATTTGAACCGATGTTTCCCAATTTCAATAGGGTTCGTCCTTGGGCCAAATAAATGAACTGTGCCAAATTTCATCCAATTCGAATCAAAAATGGTACTGTTGATATATATATATATATATATATATAGGATAGTCTAACTATAACAACTTATCGTAGCTTCTCTATAAAGGTCGGGATCCTTTTGGGTATTTTGAAAATCCCAGCTGAATTGATGTGGCTGAAATATTATAGAATTCATACGATATTGTTGTAATGTCTCCATCTGTAGTTCTAGATAACTCCTGGTGTGTCTGGGTGGGGCTTTGGCATCGACATCGGTTGTGCAGATGAACGCTCATAACACCAGTAGACAGTTTTTAGTGCAGGCATTTCATACTTCATCAATAACAGGATAGTACATCCATACCCATACATTATGATATCTATGCCTTCCGATGGTTGTGGAATATCAGAAAGGTAGAATTTGAAAACCTCCGTAAAAATCACACCACTTTGGGGACCTATCTCCTTTAATATAGCGGTCTTCAATCGGTTGATCTTTTCTATGTCATCGAACCAATTTTGCCTTTTTAACGATATCAATGAAGGCCTTAGTTGCATTTTCAGTGTTTGGTTATTTTGAAGGTCCTAGGTCTTTGTCATTTCGGGACAGAGTATAAACAATCTCCTCCTGTCAAAAATATGGAATATTCAGAGCTCATAATTATAATTCTCCTTAAATGCCACAATGTGGCAAACACATACTTCCATGTTTGAAAATATCTCCAATATAACAGTTTCCGCCATATGAGGTATTTTGCGCTTTGAGCAGTAATTTGGCATTTCAGATAGTAGAATAACTCACAGGGGTCCATACAATTTTCAAAATTACACCAATGTAATGGGTGGATTTTATTTTTAATAATTAAATTTTCATTTCAAACCATTATTAATTGATTTTATTCTTCTATTTTTATATAGGAACAAGTGATTCGAATTCGATCCACAGTACCCACGGTACGTGAACCCTTTACCCCTGGTATGGCTGAAAGGCAAATTCCCATGTTCTATATAGCGCTCGCTTTTGCCGCTGCAATCTTTGGTATTCTATTCGGCAAATTTATACTCTGAACAACTAATTAGAGAGAACTACAAACAAAAACAACAACAGCAACAACAAACAACAAAAGTGTTATGTTTTTCTTTTTGTCTTTTGCTAGCAGTTCAGAAAAAAAAAACAACAAAAAAAGATTACAAAAAAAAAACAACAAAGCTGCATATTATATAATACACGAAAACTATGAAAAACAACAATAACAAAACAAAAAACTATAAAAGTAAAAAAAAATACAAGAAAAATATAATAAGAAAAACAACAACTAAAACAATCTCTGCAAAACAAATGTGAATTCGTCAAATTCGTTTAGAGAAAGAGCAAAAAGAAAAAGGCGGCAAATATATTGCATAATAATAAATAAAAAATAAACAACAAAAAAATTAAAATTCTTAATCATAAAAAAATCAGCAAATAGCAATCAGGATATTGCTTGTAAAGGAAAGATGAAAAAAATGAAACTAAATTCTCATATTGTATTTGCAAAAGGTTTAGTTTTGCCATTTTTGTTTTTTTAAATTTCATTCAATTACCACTGCTGCTGCCGCTTTTTCCATATATATGTTTTGTTTCTATGTTTTGTTTTTTGTTAACTTTTTAGAAGCTCTCTACCTCCAAAAAACAAATCTCTTAATATCTTTATGTATTTAATTTCCCAGTTGATCATGAATTCTCCATTCATTTTCCGTTTTATCCACAAGCATTTATTCTAGAGTTATTTCCGTTCAATTACAAAAAACAATAAAACTTGAGCTTAACAGAAAAAACACAACCACAACAACTATGAACTAATTAAAAAACAACAACATAAGCTAAATAATTAAATGTTATCATAACAGAAAAAAAAGCAACAACAAGAATCAAAGCAAAATATCCAGCCAGTCAGTCAGTAAACCACCTGCAACATAAAATTTAAATTGTTTTAATTCAAAGCATTTTTTGTAGGCTGCTGCTTGAACGTTCTTCATCCTCACTGTGCATCCATATTTGGTGAAGGTATCAAACCATATACTCACTCACAGATGTTTATATGGAGCTATAAATTTAGGGGGACAATTTTGATTGATTTTTTATAAAGTTATAGATCTTTAAAGGATTTTTTTTGAATGGGCTTTTTTTTTAAGTTTCCACCCACCGTTCTCACCATACCCTTTTTGGTGAAGGTGTCAAACTCGTAGACATTTCCATGAAGCTATGCACTTTGGGATATTTGGATTTAAAAATATTAATATTGGAAAAGTGGAATGGCCCTACTCATAGAGGTTAATTTGTAGCTTTGCATTTTTGATTTTTAAAATAATGGGTCTTTAATTTTTTTTTTTTTTTTTTTTGGGAAAGTAGGGTTCCTTTACTTATTTTTTGTTAGTTTCCAGCCAATTAGATTTCCAAAAATTGTTAGGTCAAACCGAACTAGTTTTTTTTAACTTATTTAAAAAAAGTTAGGTTATGTCCGAATTGAAAAATATTGATTTTTAATAATAATGAATTTATTGGAATTATTTTTAACAAACCCTTAAAAAATTGGATCTACTAGGTCATTCTGACCTCATTTTTTTACAAATATAAAAAATAAGGTTATGTCTGAATTTGAAAAAAATAGTGATTGTTCTAATTTTAGAGCCAATTTGTTTTTTAAACCAACTGATCATTTTCGCTCAGGTTCCAGACACTCCACACATTGCAATTAAAAAAATGATGGTTCGGTTCAAGTTGAGAAATTATTGCCTGTCACATCCTCAGAAATTAAATAATGCCTTCCCCTCAGATTCTAGCTCCTCTCCAAACATTGCAAATATAAAAAAAGTATGCTTAGATCCGCATTGTTTATACAAACATACAAAAGTATGGTTATGTCATACTGACCTCATTTTTTACCAATGTAAAAAGTAAGGTTAGGTCTGAATTGATAAATTATGTTTTCCAACCCAAACGTTAGCAATCTCAAAAAAGTGAGGTTATGTCCGAACCGGAAATTAATGCTTGTCTCTGCCTTAGAAGCATTTTTTCTAATTTTTTTATTTTATTAATTTAAAAATCAAGCAATACGCTCTCCTAAATTTTTAGCTCCACACTGAAACCATTGAATCATGTTCGAACAGCACGCTTAAAAAGGGGGTTTTTGGAATGTTATTGTTTACAAACTCAATTCTCAATATTTTTTTATTTTTGTTTAATTTTAAGTTTTATTGCACTATTTTTTAAATCCATAAATATATACATCTATGTTTAGGGTGTGTTTTTTTTTAATTTATTTTTGTGTCTCTTTGGTATAAAAAAAACTTTGTTTGTTGTTTTTCCTAATGTTGCTCCCCCTTTCCTTTCATTTTTGTGTTTATTTTTCTGCATTTCATTCATATACATATATAAATATAAATAATTTATTAATTTTTTGTTTTCTTAAAAATGTAATTTATGCTGCTGGACATTTAAAAATGAAAACACATATACATAGATTTTAATAAAGGAAGAAAAAATGAACATTATTTTGTTTTTGGGCTTTCATATTTAGATTTTAATTTTTTTGAAACAAATAACTTAACAACATTACATTAAAAATAAAAAAAATTAAATTAAAAAATAAAACGAAAACTGTGTGTAATTTTTAAGTAATTTCCATTTTCAAAATGCAAATAGCAAAACGACAAAATAAACCAACAATAAGAACACAAGCATACAAAAAAAATAATAAATGAGATAAAAACAATAACTACACAACAACCAGAAATAATAAAAAATAAAAACAAAATCAACGTTTATTTTGTTAATTCATTCTTTAAAAAAAAAAAAAACAAAATATAAAGTACTAAATAAAAAATTAAAATCCAAAAATAAAGAGAAAAGCAGCATCACTAAGAACAAATGAAGTAACTACAACAAAATTATTCCCTAAACTTCCAAACTGGGAATTGTTGTTGGTTCGTCCTTTTCTTCTAATCGATATCTATTTTTTTTCAATTGTTTTTTTATAGAGCTTGTATTATTTTTCTTTTCATTCCTATTTTTTTAATTTGTTTTTCTTACACAGCGAAAAGAAAAACAAATTCATTTTGGTTTACAGCAAAACACACGAAAAGAAATGTATTAGTAATAAAATATTGGAGAAAATTAAAAAAACAGACAACTAAAAAAAAGAAAAGAATATTTAACATTTTCTTGTAATTATGTACGAAAAATATTTAAATGAAATATAATAAATACAAATACAAAAGAAGTCGAATACAAAAACCATTTGTTGTGGACGTTCGTTGTAAAGGGGGGTTTGTTAATCTTGCTCAGTTTTGAATAGGCTAGAAACAAACAAAGTCTTCGTAAAATATTTTAAAAACTAATAACATCTAGGGAATAAAATGAAATTTTAATCGGCCAATAAAGTTACAAAAAGTCGGATTTTATTTAGAACCACGACCACTAGCACTATTTTTGCCTTGGTCGGTCAAAAATCCAAATATCGTAAAATCAAAATGTGTAAATTCAAATGATTTTGTTTATTTATTTAACATTTTTTACAAAACTCCCCAATTTCCTTCCACAGTAACTTTTCAAAAAAAAAAAAAAAATGTACTCCGAATTGGAATGGTTTGGAATTGTATATCGTCGATCATCTTCCTGACTAGGCCAGGATGCTCTTAGTTAAGTAACATTATGTTGCTTATCCAGAACACATTTCCTGCCGCTATCCCAACAGATCATCGATAGCGAGCTACATGGAATTTGGGCAACAACAGAGGTCTCCGAAGCCACAAAAGGCTACAGATGCTGCATTAAAGTCCTGTACTAAACTACCTTCTTTTATTTTGGAGAATGAGGGGGTTATGTTGTCATGTAGTCAGATGTGTTGAGCTGCAGCGACTACGTCGACTAGGTTGTTAGAATGGATGAGGATGCCCCAGCTCAAATGACATATACAAGCGAGCCAACTGATGGCTCACGCAGAAGGGGAAGGCCACGAATTCGATGGAAAGATCAAGTGGAAGACAACATCTCGGAACATGGTCTTTCAAATTGGATGAGCTGCGTACAATACCGACGCATTTGGAAATATTTTTTTAAGCTTGGCTTATGGAACAAACGTTCTGTCACAAGCCAGCTAAGCTATATAATAACTTTAGGTAATAAGATTTGTCACACAATCAAAATCCAAGTAGAGTAGAGTGTTCAAGTAGAGCCAATTGAAAACACGTTTCTGAAATCTTCAAAATAACAAAATAATTATATGCGGCTATTGCAAAACATGGTGCGATATTGATAATTTTGGTATAATTAAAGCCTATTGAGTTGAGAAATGTGTCCCAAAACAACATCTTGGAACGTGGTCTTTCAAATTAAAGGAAATGCACACTAGACCGACGCGCTTGGAAATCTTTTTTAAGCTCGGCTTTTGGAACAACCGTTCTGTAACAAGCCAGCTAAGTAAGTATGTATACGAAAATATCAAACATCCTGGGAATAATTGCAATGCCTGTGCTGATGTGTGTGTGTTAATAGACGGACAGATATTTTTTTTCGTCTTTACACCACGTCCACTTCCTATTTAGTATAGGAGGTATAGGACCATGTATCATATCTAAACAAGTCTAAAAATCTTTAACCCTTTCAGTGTTTTTTTCGAATATATTCGACGTTTAAAAGTACTCTCTTTCTTTGCGATTTTTCGGTTATACTATATACCGTTACTATTGATGTTTTTGTTTTTGCTGAAAGACAGACAAACCTGGCCGAGGGTTAAAATGAAAATATATATTAAAATTTATATGATTTTGTAAAATTTTATTTTTTTCTTGTTAGCCGTCCGAAGACGAACTGAGATATACATTTTATTCTGAGTATTAATATCTTCGGTAATAATAGAAATATCACGCGACCGTTACAAACTTCAATAAGATTTCCCTACTAACATATACAATTGTGAATGATTACCAACTCTAATGTCATTACCATATTATTTTCTCCCTATTGTGAATGGTTATAAATATTTTAAATGTGAGTAGTCGGAATCAATAGTAATTGGTAGCCGTTACGTACGATAAATATGGCAACTTTGTTTCCATTATTTATAATTTTGAAGTAATTTGTTTTGAAAAAAGTGAAATAAATTGTGAAATTTGGAAAATGGAAAACATAATTTAAAATACGAATATAAGGTAAATATATTAGAAATGTTATATCCGCTCTGCTTAATACCTTCCTTTCGATATTTCAGTGAAATGTCGAACTAAATTATACAAATGTATAATTCTTCGCACAATGTTCGTAAAGGCGTTGCGGATAACGGCGCGATGTTTGATGTTTGTGGTGCAACCGGTAAGTGCGTATTTTCTTATTTTTAAATTTAACACATTTCGGAAACATTTTACACGTGTTGGCATATTCATCTATCCATAATAGAGTAACGCCTCATTTTTGAGGTATTTGGCCCGTTCCCCCATCGAAGTGGCTGTAAGTTGGTCTTCCGTGTTTTTGGAGGCCGATTTTCATATCGAAGTAGGTATCTGTAATTTGACATGGATGGTGAAAAACATTTTCAGTGGAATGTTTCGAAATATGTCCATGTCCGCCATAAAAGCTTTCGGCTTAACTCTAGTTTAGTGAAAATGATCAGATTTAATTAAAAAATATTTAACAGGTAGTTATTTTTCCCCCAATAATGAAAATGTAGTTTTTTTCTTAAGGGACGTGACCGGTTATTTGGCCCGAGTGTTCGGGAACAGGTCCCAGTTATACCCGGTTCTACGGATCCCGGTATAACCACACAACTAGTAGTTGATTCACAAATGTCTCGTCTCGAAGAGATTAACCGATTTCATCTAAACTTTTCACATCGTAATATTTCTTTCAAACATAGTTCAAGTTCGAAGATGGGGTCAAAATTTTGAAAACTTGTTTATCTCATATGAAACGAACGGAATATTCAATTTCATCGAAACTTTGCACATCCTAATACATGTTTAACTTAACTAGATTATGTCCGAAGATGGAAACCGTCCGTCGGTCCACTCCTTCTTGTACCTCCCCCACAAAATGATCAACATTTGGCAGGAAATTTATTTATATAATAACACGAGAACGGACTTCCGACTTCAACCAAACCTTGCAAAACCTAATATTATAACCATGCCTGTATAAAGTTAACAGATGGGACTTATCGGCCCACTTTTTCTAGTACTTCACACACAAAGGGTAGAAATTTTAAAACTTGTGCATCTCATATGAAGCTAACGGAGTATCCATTTCATCGAAACTTTGCACAATATATTATTTTTAGTGTATTTAGATTATGTCCGAAAATGGGACCCGTCGGTCTACTTCATCTGGTAACTCACTCACAATGTCAACATTTTTTAAATTCATTAATTCAGTATCTAACGAATTGAATATCCGATATGATCCAAACCTATACCAAGTCCGAAAGTGGGAACCATCGTTCCAATCTCTTTGGTATCGCCCAATTAAAAATAAAACCTTTGTGTAATTCCGCAGACACTTCATCACTTCTTTCTGAGAGACCAACATAGGCTTGTTTTTTTAAATATTTTTTTAAGTGACCTGCAATCTTGTGGCTTTTTTTTCTGAGTGACCTACAAAAGCATGGATATGTAAAAGGCGTGAATTTTTTAAATATTTTATCTGAGGACCTTCTTTTTAAATATTTTTTTCATGTGACCTTTAAAGAGGTGGATTTTTTAAATAGTTTTTTTTTTAATATTTATTTTAAGGGACCTATAAAGACGTGGATTTTTGCAATCTTGTGGCTTTATTTGGTCTGAGTGACCTACAAAAGCATGGATATGTAAAAGGCGTGAATTTTTTAAATATTTTTTCTGAGGTCCTTTTTAAATATTTTTTTTCAAGTGACCTTCAAAGAGGTGGATTTTTTTTAATATTTATTTTAAGGGACCTATAAAGACGTGGATTTTTTAAAATATTTATTCTCAGGGACCCATAAAAGCGTAGATTTTATTTTTTTCCTATGCCGAGCATTCATTTTCCAATCATTATATTTTTTGGTATTTGTATTATTGTATTGCGTATGTTTGTCTTTATTGTTCCATTTCTTGTTGTGGTATTCACAAAATTATATTTTGTTTCAATGTACCCCATTGCTCGATACCAAATGTGGTTGTTGTAATTGCTGTTGTTGCTGCTGCTGTTGCGGTGTCTGTCCTGTAGGACTTGTCCCCTGCGCTGTTGTACTGCCAATAACAACATTTTGATGTTTATTTGAAAAATCTATACATGATCCGGATGTCAAATCAATTTCTTCCGAATCCGACCCATCTGAACCATCATCCGAATTGTGATCGAGAGCAGCCATTAATCGTGGATCATGTTGCATGTGTGCATGTAGTGCCTGTGTTAAATGTTGATTTTGCAGGTGATGATCTTTGTAAAGTTTAAGTTCGGTATAGGTTTTCTCATTTCCTCCAGTAGCAGCACCACCTGTGTTCGATTTATTTTGCCCACTTTCAGCCGGATGCATCATTGTCATATTATTGTGTTGTGGTGGTGATCCATTACCCATTGACCCATTGTTGGCGTCTTTGGGTATTGAAGTGTTGGAAAGGTTTTCTGGTGCCGCATCCATACCGGGTGGCATGGGACCATTTAGTGAGGCGCCATTTGGTATTGGACCACCTGGAATGATATATTGTTTAGTTTTATATTGCGTAATGTTGGATTGATGTGGTTACACACCGCCTTGCCCCATAACCGGTGGCTGTCCTAAGCTTAGACATCTCATTCGCCAAGCATCTTGTAGTAGCTGTAAACGTGCCTGTTTTCGCCATTTGGCTCGACGATTTTGAAACCATACCTAAAATGGAAATTGAAAAAGGTAATTCTTAGTGAAAGATATAGACAATATATATTTAGACATTTTCGCAGATAATCCAGTTGTTTTTACGAACTCAGCGAGGTATGTTTTTTATAAATTTTGAATTAATCGACCACTATGGCAGACAAAAACAAAACACCACCTTTAGGGTGTTTGCAAGCGAATGACAAATAAATTACATTTTTGAAAAATAAAAGGTTGTGAGAGTAATTGAGAATCCATCCACCCTATACAAAATGAACAAAAAAGAAGTGGCTTCAGATATTCTATTTGGTAGAATTTTTTCTATTACATTTTAGAACAATTGAAATTCGTCAAAAATTGAAATCGAAAATTTATATATGTTTATTTATAAATTTATTAACCAATCTAGGTTAATCAATTTATACAATTTGTGTCAATCTGCTTTATTTTCTGCAAAAAATATACCTTTAGCTACTATGATTACAATAGGTGAGATTAAATTAATTAAACAGAAAACAATTCAAAGTCGGGTAATGTGAACCACAATAAAAAACGGCACCTTTTCATGTGAACTAGTTCGAAACATGGTCATATATTAAAAAAATCTCAGCGAGGAGGAATTCTACCTTCCGAAAGCTCGATATGCGAAATTACAACTGGTTTGGATTGATAATGAAGCTAGCGCCTCCAAAATACTGCGAATAGAGCGGTATCATTAAACGTGTATATTAATAAATATGGGCCCATGTTTATTAGTTTGGGGAAAAAAGAAATCCATTATTTTTTTCGGCAGATGGCTGTACTGATTTCTTGTAAAGTATCGATCAAACAATTGCAGATTTATGCTCGTTGGAATGATGACATTTCGCCGTAAAAAATTATGTTGATGTTTTTTGTTTGGTGCATTAATTTTTTCACATTTTTACACCACAACTCCCAATGTTTGCCCTTCTCAAGGAGATTAACTTGCGGCTAAGAATATCAGTAGTAAAAAACAACATCTGAGACCAGAATAATGACTTCTGACAACCCCCATCGATATTGTAATATTAGGGGTATGCGGACGCTTCGGAAAATTATCTCTTGAAATAGAAATTCATTCCAATCACAATTTCTTGGCATGAACCGAACGATATGTCAATATCATAAGCAATCTATTTGATAATGATTCGAGTATTATTCATGTGCTTGGCAACCAGGACGTGCATTGTTATTTATATATGTGAAATAGGGACATTTTTCGAGTTCGGATTTTCCGTTATCAGGTCAATACTTTTCTTATTTGAAGGTGGTTTACTAATTGGGAATATGTGTGTCCGTCCGTCCATTATAATTTGTAAACACGATACAGGCCACAGTTATGGACCAATCTTCATTTAATTGTTGTAGAGGCATGATAAAGATCTGTCAATATTTAGCGGGTCAAATGGACCCTGACTTTTGTGTGAAAAATGACAAAATTTGTATTCTATAGCGTATATATTTACCCCTGAAGGACATAGACCCGAGAAGTTTATAATATATCCAAGAGGAGTGGTAGGCCTTTAAATTGATACCAATTATATTGTCGTATGTACTCGGATGCGGGAGTTACATTTAAATATGTACAGGTACTTATGTATTCAGATATTCTTTAGTAACCCATTACCACACTGGAGTGCGGAAATATAGCGCTGAATGTTTTGAAATGTTCCATGAGCTTCCAGCTATGATCAAGAACAAGTTCTATAATTTTCGATGATGATCAGATACTAATTTTGGGATGATGTGGACCGAATACTTAAATTTTGTGTGTGTGTTTTTTTTTTTGAGTCGATCTTTAGGCCAGCATTATAAGCTCAACATCACAACACAACCCACGGTGAAGGTGAATATGGATAAGTAATTAGAAGGACTGTACAGAATATTATGTCAGTGTAAGGAAGAGGTGATTTTGACCTCTAATCGGGCAACAGGGTGTAGATATCAGATAGTTGTGTAGGGTATCGTATGGTCTGCCCCGTCCGACTATACTGCTCCGCTCACTGATTTTAATTTTAAATATTACAAAATATTTTCACGTAGTCAATTTTAGTTCGACACCTTGTGAGGGAGGTTCCTAATGTATAATGTGTCCTAAACACATAATACAGAAATCTATCTTTGGACCCAATCCGCTTAAGACAATTTGGAGTAGATTTACAAGTGTCCGTCAATTTGGTGCGTATGATACCTGTTTTTTTTTATAGGTATACATATTTACAAAGGATGATCACAATGGACATAGTCTCCGAGTGGACGGTTGTTACAACAACCGCACATCCCTAACCTAACCATACCTCTTGAAGGGAGTAGCCAATTTCAACCAAACTTACACATCTTAATATTTCATCCATTCAAAAATCAAGTTCTTGTACTTTCCAAAGAAAATGGTCAATATTTTGCTGAATATAAATTTTAAATATCATGGGAAAGAACTGTCCGATTTGAACCCAACTTTGAACAACCGAATATTTAAACCAAGCATGTATAATGTTGGAAGAAGGAACTTATCAGTCCACTTCTTAAAATACCTCTCCTGTAAATCTTATTTGCAGTAGAAATTACCAAAAAAATTATAAATCCCCAATCAATCGAATTTAATGTCAAATTTAATGTATACTTTGCACATCATAATATTATTAGCCAACCTAGATCAAGTCTAAAGAAGGGAGACATCGGTCAATTCTTCTAAACCTCCCGCGAAAAGTGTCAACATTTTAAAAATACATTTTAAATAAAATAAAATTTAAAGCACGATTGAAATTTACTTTGGGACATAGATTATTATAAAATGCTTTGCTCGTTTTATAAACTGAAGTACTATTAAAGGTACATTTTCTAGAAAAATTCATAGAGGGTTTTTGGGCACAAAATCTCTGAATGTACACCTCCTTCAGTAGACGTTTAAAAATCTATTACTTCCGAAAGATATTCTATGGACTGAAGATTTTTAGGCAGATATTTCTCAAAATAAGGAAGTCTTCTATAAACTATATACCTCTAGGAAGATTTATAGAGGATTAAAAGTATTTCCCAAATTACATAGTCAAAAGATAGAAGACTTTGTATCAACAGAAGAGAACCTACATAATTCACCTGGAAAGATTTCCAAAAAAAAAAAAAGAAAAACTTTGCCTCTTGGATCGCCAAGTGAAAAAGTGACAAATAAAAGTGCTAATAAAATGAATAGAAAGAACTTTGCTTAGTTATTAATGAGATCCGTATATCTTTAAAATTTACCTTTTATTCTTAATCAGAATAACATTTTATATCGATTTAGCCATGTCAGTCTGCCTGATTAAGAACGATACAGCTCGCAACATTGAATACAAAACTTTGAAATGTTGCACATACATTTCATCTACTTCTAGGATTTTTGTTATTGGAAATGGGATATATCGGTCCTTTTTAGGGTAGCTCCATGGAACGGTACCCCCAATATATGATATTTTAAAACTTTGGAAAAGTTTTTTAGCCAAATTTGTTGAAATTTTGTATTTTTGGTTTTCCCTGTGTAGAAAATTTTCCTACTACAAATTGTCAATATTGGTCATTTTATTTTGATATATTGGGATTTTCAGTGAGCAAAAAACCTACCAAAAATTATCATCATACCAACCTCCATTATTCAGTGTTTTGTTGACTTTAGGCACATTTTTGATCCGAAGTGGCTTAAATTTTATATTTTGAATTCTCATTGGGCACAAAATATCCATACCATGAATTATTTATATTGGTTTCAGGGTAACCCCATAGAGTGGGGTTACCCTGTAATTTGATACTTTTCATTCTAATGTAGTGTCAAATCTTCTCACTAAAAAATTAATTCCTGTTAGTACCATGTAACGGTACCACTCTATTTTTTTGGAATTTTGAAAGTAACTGCAATTTCACATTGAGGGGTTTTGGAGGCTGACATATATGCAGATAATGAGGTATCGGTTTGTACATAGCCCTCATATAAATGTACCGCCCTATTTTCTGTATTTTCAAGTTTTTATCAGCATTCTCTGGGTTCTTTTAAGGTAGTACATATTTACGCGGACAATTTCTTACGTATGTCTATAATTGGACATACCGCCGTATACAATTCCCGCCCCATTTGCTTTGTTTGAATATAGCATTGTATCTGATTTCATATTATGGGTATACCATTAGCCCTAAGTTTGTCAGATTGATATGAAATTTTGTCGGTATATACATACATATTTCATTTCGACGGGTTTCATGTCCAGGGTCCACCAAAGATGCACGGTCGATCCGATCAACATTTTGGTTTTATTAGAACAATAGCATAGAACCAAATTATTTAGAGTGGTCTAAATGTATATACATATATATATATATATATTGGTTACAATGCGAATCTTAGGACCCAAAATATAAGGTATAATATAGTCGGTCCTTTTCGGCTCTGGTCTTTTCCTTAATAGTTTATGCATGGGTTTTGCTCAATAATACTTCACTCGAAATTCATATACTTCAAAATGTTTGGTAGTTGTAGTAAGTAATTCCCTTTATGTTCCAAATTTCGGATATTACTTCACACTATAGTAATAATTCCAAAAATTCTATTTTTTTATTAATTTATATTTAAAATAATGTTTCTTTCTTTGTTAAAAAAAAATCACCTGAACACGAGCTTCACTTAAACTAATACGCAAAGCGACTTCTTCACGTAAAAATACATCCGGATAGTGGGTCTTTTGAAATAACGCCTCCAATTCTTGTAATTGTTGTGGCGTAAATGTTGTACGATTACGGCGTTGGCGACGACGTCCGAACATATATTCCGTTAAAAGATCACCAGGTAAAGGTGATAGAAATGGTCCAGCCATAGTAAAATACTATATTTAAAATTTTATTATTTTTTCAAAATTTTAAAATAAATATCCGTTAAACGTCCCGATTATTTTGGTTTTTTTGGAAACGTTTCAACTGTTCGCTTTGCCTGACATGTAACACGTAGCACGCTTGCAACGTAACTGTTCATAGGCCATAATATGGTTTGCCTTTTTATTATCATTTTGGTAATATTATCAATGTTGGTGTGATGGCTGACGATGACGACAACGTCGTTTCATTGCAGTCGTATTTTGTATTTGCATATCCTAACATCATCATCATTACCATTGTCGTCGTCGTCCTTTCGGTTTTCTGTTATTGTTCGTTTGACTATTATTCCTTGCTCTGTTGGGCTTTTGCTTCATGTGTATGATTATTAGTTAGTAGTAGTGATATCAGCATCATCATCATGAGCATTGGTTGGTGCTCGCAGTCGCTGCTCAGTAACCGCATTCCGAAATGCACACGAACAATGAACGATTACAAAGCAATTCAGGCCTTTAGAATTTGCGCGCCATATGCAAATTTTTATTCTGTTATCCTCTTGTCTGAGGTGGCTGGCTGGGTTGTTGCTTTCCTGCCATTCAGCCAGCCATTTCGACTGACGGAAGAGTTTATTTTGATGTGGATGGATGGGATGTATGGTTTTTTGGGGTTCACTGTTTTCATACTGCTTGACAGTATTTATATTTTTGTTTTGCTCATTTTATTTTGCCACCCAAGCTTGTTTTGATTGATTCTATTATTTTTGGTTGTGCTTTAATTCTCTTGGTCACGTGTTTTTTGCATTAAAATCTCTTTATTTTTTTGAGGACTTCTCTTTTTGGAACCATTTTGGATTTTTTCTAAATAGAATACAAGTCAGATGTGGAGTACTAAATGGGAGACCTTCGATATGTGGAACAACCATTCAAGAGGTATTTTAAACCCCTATAGGCCGATAACTTCCAGAACCTTTTTTGTAGTTGAATGTGCCAGAGAGATTTCTTTTCTAGGCAATAGACCCCCTTTTTATAGACTTCTAAATGCCGTATATAGCTCTGATCTGGGAAATAGTTCTGAGAGAAGTCCTCTGACATTATTTTTTTAACTCTAAAAAACCTATGAAAATTTAGTAAAAAATATCAAGAAAAAGGTCCAATAAACGTATTTTCTATAAACAGAATACCTCCAGAAGTTGTACCTCCTAACAAACGTTAGTATAGAAATGTAGAAATGTACATTTCAAAACCGTCTGCTTAAATGGAACCTATTTCTCAACCTTAATTCACACTCCAAATTTAGTACATTTTCGTAATTTTCGGACAGTTATAGTTCGAATTTCCAAAAACCCTTTGGTATATATATATATACAATAAAAAAGGGTCCGGAAAGACTTATTTTAAATTAAGGATGTTAAGGTTGTATTTGACAAAAATCGTGTAAAGGGAAAACGTCTCCAAGGTGTCTTTAGAGAGCCCCTAATAGACGAGGAATAGGAATGTCTCTAAAAAGTGCATAATTATATAGGCCAAATATCTCCGAAAGTTTTTTAAGTTGATAGATCATAGTAGCATATGTTGGCCAACACTATTCTTTTCCAGATTTCAAAGCTGATGTTATTAGATTCGTTTATGGAGGTACCAAGGTATATAACAACGTTCACCACCTCGAAGCTATAGTTTTCAAGTTGTTTGGTGTAGAGAGTGTCATTTCTGTTCGCATTTGCATCTCGTATGACATTTTCCAGCAGTATGTTAAAAAATTCACACGACAAACTGTCACCTTGTTTGAATTCTTGTTCGGTATTATATGGCTCCTATAGGTACTTTCCGGCTTTAACTGCTGACCATCTAAAGTTATCCTGCGTAGTCGTATTAATTTAGGAGGAATATACAATAAGAGGTTCATATGTAGACAAAACCCCTTAAGAAGCTGTCTAATACAGGCTTATTGCGTACACAATAAGCATGATAAATCCAGAAAACTTTCTGTACATAATATGAATACCTTCTGAAAAATTTCTAAAAATAGGAATTCAATTAACCTATTGAAGATCGTATGTATACCAAATACTTCCAGAAGCTGTTCAATACACGGTATATAGAGTAGAAGGTGTTCAATAAACATAATACATCTAGGAGAATCTTCAGAATACCCTCATATCTTCTATGGACAGAAGACGATCAGACGGTCATCAGTATTATAATACCTACAAATATGCTATATACTATCCATAAAGTTGACCAAAGGGATGTAATCTACTGATGGTAATCAGAAGGTGATCTATCGATAGGACAAATATCTTCGAAATGTCACATATATGTGTCTAAAGCACCTTCCGAAGATATTAAGTAGAAAAATAAATTTAGGGTCTTCAAAAAGGCTTATCTATAATCCGAATATTTATAAAATATCTACAATCGGCCTTTAGCAGATGTGGTCTCTCATGGACTCCCAAACGAAGTTCTATAGATACATGAAAGCCAGGAGCTTAGTTCACCGTCAAGAACTTATATACCGACAACCTCAGAAGGCTTTCTATACAACCCGAAGATTAAAATTAGGTGCTATCGGAAAAAAGACCTCTACAAGTTGCATACGAACTCTATGCAACCTGAAAAAACCACCAGCTTTTTAGTACAAGGTCTAAAATTACTTCCATAAAAAGAAGGGTTTAAGATTATCTTTGGTATAATCAGAAGATCTATACACATTAAAAAAAGGCTGTCCCCTCGGTCTGCAGACATTCAAAAAGTTTTTCATAGGCGGATCTGTAGAGACAATACCTCTACAATGTCTGTAAGAGCTATTCTATACACAGGGAAAATAGTGCGCCTTAAGGGTTTCTATTGATAGCGCCTTAAACGATTTCTACATTGGATGTTCTTCATTTGTAGCTGAACATATTTTCTGCCGCTAAAAAATCTACTCAGATAATTAAAAATAAACTTGTACATATCCAAAAACCTGAAGGTAAAGGCTTTCTAGATATTCCAGATGTCTTCTGGCAGCATTGTGACACATTTTTCAACTTGAAAATCTTGAACCAATCTGCACCACCAAAATCTGAATGCTTATGATAGTAGTAGAAAATCCCTAGCTGGGATATGAATTATTAGCTAAGTTTTTTATAATTTTTCGCACTGGCTTTAGAACTTGCTATTAATTCGACCATCATTATATGACAGGAAGATAGTCAAAAGAAAAACAAACCACTCCTCTCAATACCCCGTTTGGATTGGATGCCTTTTTCTCATATGATCGATTGATCTTCCTTTTGTCATTAGAAGTTTTCAGTGTATCTTATTTATAGAAGAGGTAGCCTGTATGTAGAATATAATATGGACATCTTCTCATGGGTCTACAGAATCTTCTGACGTTTTTTCTGCCTGAAGAAAATCTTGTGGATACCTTATATGTGCTCAAAAAGTGCTGGGTCTACTATGATGCCGTTCATGAACTGATAATACAAGATCGTCATGTGATATGGAGACATCAGCAAAAAAGATTTGTTCCTGTTGGATCCCGCACAATTTGAGGCAAAGAAATTTTGAAAGAATGCTATCCATCCATGGTTCATGGAATTGACACAGGTACCGAACCATGCACATAAGCCCGTATCAGTCGACCCTGTGGGCCTTCGAAGACAAGCCGAAAAATTCAACATCTTTGGTAAAACTGGTCATGGCCGACTTGAGCAACGTAGGACTGTAACATTGGAGTGGTACTAACGACTTTTGACAGGCTAAAATGTGGAATCGATGGGTCATCCGCCGAATTAATGGGAGAAGGCACCCAATGATTTCTTTATATTCCCGCACGTAAAGAAAAATCCATGGTCAACGTTTTAAATCGCCAGAAGATGCTGTTGAAACCTTTAAACCCTATTCTGTAGTGATGTCTCAATCGAAATGTTTCCACATCTGTATGTATAGATAATATGATTTAGAAACTCTTCTGGAAAACTTCTTGCGGAAGCCGAGAAGCCTTTTAAATTATATCCTGTGGGTCATTTTGTAGATAGGCAGAAATTATTTTTGTATTATTATGCAGAGAAGACCTTTGGAAGGTCTGTTATAGACCGAAGAACAACAGAAGATTTTTTATAGATATATACAGAATACCTCCAAATGACTTTCCAGTGACAAAAGGCTTCAGGAGTTTCTTCTAAATATGTAAGAAAGATCCTCTAAAAGGGTGTCTATAGAAAGAAAACCTCCTGAAGGTCTGTTATAGAAAAAATACGTCCAGAAGGTCTTCCGATGTTTTCATACAAGGCCTTCTAAAATCATCAGAACACCTATAGTCTTTCACAAGGTCTTATAAAAAAGGAACCCCTCCACAGGGTCTTCTAAATAGAAAAGTCCTACTGATGTTTTTTTTTATTGACAGGGGAACTCAGTGACCTTATTTTCTATAGAACAACACCGAACTTCCAAAACGCCATCTAAAACAAAAAGTCATCAAGAAGTTTATTAACTCTTTCGTAATACCCAAACCTCTTAATCGATTTTTCAAGAATACCATTACGAAGTAGCATTTGTGGATGTATTCCCATTCTACACATTTTTTGCAATGCCTCTGAGTTGTGGGATTTTTAAAAAGAAGGACGATGCATCAACATTTAATCAGTAAACAACAATAATGTAATGTTCATAATGTACAGAAAAAAACTAATAATACAAATAAGCTATTTTCTGCAACAACACACAAAAACAATAAGCATAATTTAACAACTACAAAGCAACAACATTATAAATCTACCCATCCTTTCATTTATCCTTTGCTTTGGTATATGATTCTTATTGTTGTTTTACTTTTTACAACAACAATTTGTAACTACCTTCATAAATTAAGTCCTGGCAGGTTGTTGGTTTTTCTGCAACAACAACAACTACAACTTCTCTCCTCGGTGCTGCTACTGTATTCGTATTTTGTTTGTTGTTGTTCGTTTATAATTCTTTTTACTCAGTTATGATTGGCTTTACTTATAAATGCATATAAACAACATACACAC